ATAGCTGTCTGGTATGTGTCGGAGACTAGAGAGGTTGCAGTTACTGCTACCAAAGAGTGAAAATTTGTATCAGCTTCTAATAAGCATTTTCATTGCATTATATTTTGTTAGGGGAAGTAGATCAAAGGTTCTTGTTTTCACTGTTTCAAGTCAAGATTAATTGAGTGTATTTTTTTTTTTTTTTTTTTTTCTAGTCTGAAGATTTTTTTAAAAATCTGAATGGTTTTTAAAAATTCATTTGCTAAAAGTTGAAGTTACCATTGATGATTTGTTGATATTTTTCACAGTTTAAAGAACATTGTTTAAACTTTAAAAATTCAAGCAAATGAAGGAGAAGAACATTGCCATGGGACATGATTGACAGGTATAGTTGTATTTTCAAGCTGCTGGAGGATTGTAATTGAGCATTCTGAGCAAATCAGTTTGATGAGGAGAAGGTTTATATTTTGTTTGGTTTTCTACACTTTCTAGATTGTTAATGGTTTAGGTTGATATCTTCTTGTTCCAATTACCTCTTATGAAATAATAAAAGAAATGTACTTTCATCAGGGAGGCCGGGATCTGGAGAATGCAACTGCTAATTTATTACTGGATATAAGAAACTTGATGGCTGAGTTTTAGGTTTGCACTTTACAGCATACCTTATGTGAAGGTAACTCTACAGCTGACTTTTTGGCTGCTTTGGGACACTACCCTCCACCAAGCACCAGCATTTTGGACTCTCCACCAACTGGACTACGTGGACTGCGTTCTATCCTGATAGGGGATTCTATGGGGGTTAGGTTCCTCCGTTACTAGTTTTTCCTTGCTGTTATTTTCTTAGTTTTCATTGATGTACCAAAAAAAAAAAAAGATGTTTGTTCCATACTTCCATTAAATCCAACATTGGTGTTTATGTTTTTACGGTTCTTATTGCGAGGAGAAATTTGTTTCAATGCATAATATGATAGGCACTTATGATTCAAGAGAAAGAAGGATAAAGGCACCGAATGATGCAATAACAATCAAAATTTTTCAAAATAATTTTACTTATACATTGGAAGATCGTGACATGATTTTACTTCAAGATTTTATAACTTTATCTTTAATAGAAAGTCAGTTAAAATGATTATTTGACATAATTTTTAATTTTATTATCTTATTTATGTGATTTAAATGTAACATATTTTGTTTTTCAATATTAAAAATAAATATTCATTTAGTATTTATGTTTTAAAATATG